CTACGTTCGCCCTGGGAGGGGGAACTGCGTCGACGTAGGTGCCTGTGGATCTCCAAGAGGCTAACTCCGAGGCCATAGCCGCTTTCCACTGAGAGGCCCACGCCCCTGACACTGCCTCGCGGTAAGTACGAGGAGTCGGTATGTCAAGGGCGTCGGGGTCTCCCTCAGGGGATAGCAGCATGGCACAGACAGAGGGAGAAGCGGCTGCCTTGTACTCCAGCTCAGACTCTCTGTCCTCTAGGACGTCACAGCCAAGGGCAAACTCACCCCCGACGGACAGAGGACGGGAGGGAGGAGCTGGTACCACACGGGTGGCGTAGTCAAGGCGGCTGGCGGCAGCAAACTCAGCGACAGTTGCAGTGAGAGCCGAGACAGACGACAGAGGAAAACGAGAGTCGGTGACAAGAGTGGCAAGGACACGGGAGACAACAGGACGAACAGCACGGTAGTAGTCAGTGATAGGAGTAGGGGGGACAGGGAGAGAAGACGGAGGAGGAGACGGAAGAACGGACTCAGGAGGAGGACGACGAAGAGACGAACAAAGGAGGGCAGTGCGGAGGTCGGTAACGGGAGACGAGTGACGAGCACGCGGAGGACAGGGACGGACACGAAAGTGTGGGACAATTGGTAGAGGAGACTGCGGTGGATGAGAAGACCAGACCGCCGGACTGTCGTCAGGAGGAGGAAACGTGGGACCAAACGCTGGAGGGGACGGAGTGTGAACAGGAGGAGAGGAGGGAAGACCAAGGGCCCGAAGGCCACTCACAGGTGGGAACAATTGCCGCTCCAGAGGGAGCTGCGGTGGTCGCGGCGGCGGCGGTGGTGTCTGCTGCTGCGGCGGCGGTGGCTGCTGCAGCAGCTGCTGCTGCTGCTCCAGCAGGTCCAACTGCCGCAACTCCTACCGCTCCCTCTCCAACAGCACCTGCTCCTCACGCTCACGCCGACGGGCCGCCTGGAGACGCGTGTCGTGGCGGTGGGGAGGCGGAGTGGACTCCGCAGAACCAGTGTCTCCAGCTCCTGTCTCCTTAGAACCAGCACCTCCAGTGCCAGCACCTCCAGCACCAGCACCCCAGAACCAGCACCTCCAGCTCCAGCACCCCCAGAACTAGCACCTCCTGTGCCAGGACCTCCAACTCCAGCACCCCCAGAACTAGCACCTCCAGTGCCAGCACCTCCAGCTCTAGCACCCCCAGAGCTAGCGCCACCTTCGCCAGCACCTCCAGCTCGAGCGCCCCCAGAGCTAGCGCCACCTGCGCCAGCACCTCCAGCTCTAGCACCCCTCGAACGAGCACCCCCAGACCGAGTACCGCCAGCGGCTGCACCTCCAGCTCCAACACCAACCGAGTCCGCAGTAACCTGTCGCGGAAGTGCCGAAGGCTGCTGAGGGGACTGGGAGGAGGACTGCGGGGAGGGAGACGCGACCTGACGCGCGACCGATGGTAGAGGGGTAGCGTGGGACACACCACACGGGGCAGGACCAGGGGGGGGCGGGGGTACCGGAGGAGCGGGAGCAGGAGGAGGAGAGGGTGCGAGGAAGAGAGGGGAAGGGGGTACCGGGAGACCTCGACATGGGTACCGGGTGTAGTAGGACACAGGCTCGTCAAACCGGACGTCACGGGAGTCTAGGAACTGGTGGAGGGGCGGGTGGTAAAAGGACCAGTCGGCAGAGTCCACTGGGAAACCAAGGAAGACACAGGGGACGGCGCGTGCCGAGAGCTTGTCCGCGGAGGTGTCGCGAACAAGCGCAAGGCAGCCCCAGACACGAAAGGCCGACCCAACACCAGGGGAACCGGTCCAAAGACTGGTCGGTGAAGCCTCGGGCCGCGAGACACGCGGCTGGAGGTTCAGCTGGTGTGCGGCGTAGCGAACCGCGTAGGGCCACACCAAATGGGGCGCACTGGCATGGATCATGGACGTGCGAGCAATGTCCATGACCAAGCCAATGCGGCGCTCAGCAACCCCATTCTGCTGTGGGGACTCTGGAAGCGTCCAGGACTGTACGATGCCCTGTTCGCCGCGGAATCCGCCAAGAATGCCGGAGCGAAACTTGCCCCCACGGTCGGAGTGTAGACAACTGACACGACGACCACGAGTGCCCTCAGTAGCCAGAAGCCACCGGATCAGCGTAGAAGTCACCTCGGACTTCTTCGCGAGAGGGAACACTGTCGTGTACCTGGAGAAGTCGTCAACGACCACCAGAAGTAACGCTCCCTCCCAGATCCCTGCGTCGGGGCAGGGCCCCAGACGTCCAAGTGGAGAGTCTCGAAGGGAGCAGTGGCCGGACGAAGGGAGGAGGAGTGGGGAGTGGCGCGTAAGCGACCGGCGACGCAAGGAGTGCAAGAGGGAGCAGGGGAGGTAGGGAGCGAGGAAAAGGTGCGCGGGAGACCGGTGACAAGCCCGTGAGTGGTCATGCCGCGGAGGCGGGGGATCGACGGGTGGCCAAGGCGGTGGTGCCACAAGACGGTCCGGTGGGTGAGGGACCGACAGGAGCAGGACGAAGCAACTGGACTGGACAACGCGACCTGACTAGACACTGCAACTGGACTAGACACGACCACCTGGCTAGACACAGCAACCGGACTAGACACCTGGACTGGAGGGGACGCAACGACCTGAGTGGATGACGCAACTGGGGAGCGCTCGGTGTGGAGAACGTAGAGACCGGAGCGGGGCTCCCTGGTGAACGTGGCCAAAACAGCACCTGTGGCAGCGTTTGTACAGACCGCAGTCCTCCCACCCCCCACAAAGGTAACCATGATCCCCCTGTCCTGGAGGTATCCAACACCCACCAAGTTCCGAGTGAACGAGGGGATGTGGAGGCCGCGTAGGACACCGAAGGGGACCACAGGACACGAGAGGGTAGTGGAGCTACGCGCAACGGCTGGTCCTAGGTGGGATCAGCCAGAGCTACCGAAACAGGAGTGAGGAGTGGCGTGAGGGTCGTGTGGTCGCGGAAGCAGCACTGAGACGCGCCAGAGTCCAGCGTGAAGGACAGGGACGCCTCAGCCGGAGGGTCAGCTGTCCTAGTGGCTACACAAGCACCTAGAGCAGCAACACAAGCACCTAGACTAGAAAGGCACAAGTCTACACTAGCAGGAGGCAAGCAAGCTATTATACGAACACGCGAGCACACAGATCCATCAGCACTGTAGTCAACATCAGCATACAAAGCATGCTGACGAGCATCGTCCATAGACAGATCAAACACATCAATCTTACGGGCTAATAGGCGAGCCCAGCGAGGCGTGGTCGCCGCAGGGCCCCAACGAGCACGGTAGAGGTCGTCGAGGCGGCGGAAGGACCGCGCGGCAGAGTGGTCGTCGCGACCGCAGAGACAGGGGCTGCCCGGTCCGGTGAGGCACCAGTGGGTGCAGCGGCCAGTGTCACGGCGAGGGGGGCGAGGGGCCCAGCTGGAAGTACTGCTGCTGCGGCCGGTGCTCCCTGGTCCTCCCGGACCCCACTGCAGCGAGGGACCCCAGTGCTGCTGCGGACCCCACTGCAGCGGGGGCCCCCACTGCTGGAACTGCTGCTGTGCCTGCTGCTGCTGCGGTCCCTGTTGCTGATGATGTCCCTGCTGTGGCTGGTGCTGCTGCTGAGGCTGCTGCTGCTGGGGTCCAACACCCCCACCGGTCGGGCCACCGCCAGTGGGCGGGCCTGTCTGTCATGCACCTCCTCCAAGGCCCCCTCCTCCGGGTGCACCACCGCCGCCGCCGCCGCCACCGCCGCCTCCACCACCGCCGCTCCCACCTCCACCGCCACCTCCACCGCCTCCACCTCCCCCCTTCCCGCCCTTCTTGCCACTCTTGCCCCGTTTCTGCCAGTCTGCGGCAGAAACGGCAGCAGTGTCGTCAGAAACCGACACAGCAGCAGAAGCACGGATAGCAGTGAAAGTGGGGAGCTGAGGGGCGGCACACCCCGCAAAGAGACGGGGGGCCACCGCGTCAGTGGCGGAGGCAATGGTGAGGAGGCTACTCTCGATCGTCCCGAGAGTGGTCTAAAGGAGATCGATAGTGAGCTCAGTGGGGTGCTTCTAGAGAAGCGCGTCGCGAGCAGTGGCAATGCGGTCAGGGAGGCGGGTGACTAACCAGTGCACAGTGAGCCACATGGGGGGGGGGGGAGCAGCAAGAAGCTGGGCGTCGGTACAGGCCGCACGGAAACCGGCGTCAAGTGAGCGGAGGTGAGTCACTAGGTCGGACACAGTCGCGAACGAGCCTAGGTCGGGAAACACGAACGTCATGAGGAGGCGACTGAGGGAGGCAGAGGAAGGGGTGGAATAGCGTGCAACAATAGCATCCCAAACCCCCTGCGCTGTCTCCACCTTGTCAAAGTGGGCGGCGTCAGTAGGGGGGAGGAGCTCCGTCAGCGAAAGAGCGGCGGCAGCGTCGCGCGAGTTCCACACGTCCCTGGCCAGGACCCGACGGTCGTAGTCCGCCTGGGCCACAAGAGTCGGCTCCGAGCTCGTCGGTAGGGGGGCGGGGGACTGGGGCGCCTTGAGGGCACCAGACGCGTGGGCCCACAGGGTGGCGCCGTCCTGACGCTGAATGGTGAGGAAGCGCGTGGTCTGGCGCTGCCAGGTACCGAACTCGATCGGGCGTCCCTCCGCATCGAAACGAAGGCGACGGGATTCCATAACGGAGGCCATGCTAGAGGCGGCTGGAGCACGGCGGAGGCGGAGCTAAGAACGAGGAGAGAATCCTAGGAGCGCCAGGTGTGGCGTGGTGTGAGACCGGCGGAGCTAGAGGCTAGGAGCGCGGGGTGACCTAGGCTAGGCGTCAAAGGGCGAGGAACGCCAGAGAGGAGCGCTAGAAGCCAGTGGCTAGGAGCGAGGGGCTATACGTGTCTAACCTAGGTGACCGGCGAGAGAAGCGGCTGCCAGCCGCTGAACGAGAGACCAATGGCAGTAGGGCGCTGCCTAGGGCTAGGGCGCTGCCTAGGGTGAGGGCGCGGCCTAGGGCTAGGGCGCTGCGGAGGGCACGGCGCGGCTGAGGGCAGGGCGCGGCTTAGGGCAGGGGGAGGGGAGTGAACACGACGGGGAGGGGAGGCGACGCGACGGGCAGGGGGAGGCGACGGTACGCGACGGGCAGGAGGAGGGGAGGGGAAAGCGACGGGCAGGGGGAGGGGAGGCGACGCGACGGGCAGGGGGAGGCGACGGTACACGACGGGCAGGAGGAGGGAAGGGGAACGCGACGGGCAGGGGGAGGGGAGGCGACGCGACGGGCAGGGGGAGGCGACGGGACGCGTCGGGCAGGAGGAGGGGAGGGGAACGCGACGGGCAGGGGGAGGGGAAGCGACGCGACGGGCAGGGGGAGGCGACGGTACGCGACGGGCAGGAGGAGGGGAGGGGAACGCAACGGGCAGGGGGAGGGGAGGCGACGCGACGGGCAGGGGGAGGCGACGGTACGCGACGGGCAGGAGGAGGGGAGGGGAAAGCGACGGGCAGGGGGAGGGGAGGCGACGCGACGGGCAGGGGGAGGCGACGGTACGCGACGGGCAGGAGGAGGGGAGGGGAACGCGACGGGCAGGGGGAGGGGAGGCGACGCGACGGGCAGGGGGAGGCGACGGGACGCGACGGGCAGGAGGAGGGGAGGGGAACGCGACGGGCAGGGGGAGGGGAGGCGAAGCGACGGGCAGGGGGAGGCGACGGTACGCGACGGGCAGGAGGAGGGGAGGGGAACGCGACGGGCAGAGGGAGGGGAGGCGACGCGACGGGCAGGGGGGAGGCGACGGGACGCGACGGGCAGGAGGAGGGGAGGGGAACGCGACGGGCAGAGGGAGGGGAGGCGACGCGACGGGCAGGGGGAGGGGAGGCTACGCGACGAAGGGCGTGCGGAGGGCGCGAGGGCGCTAAGGCGATTGGAGGGCGCGAGGGCGCTAAGGCGCGGAGGGCGTGGAGCTAAGGCGCGAAGGGCGCAGAGGGCACTAGGGCGCGGAGGGCGCTAGGGCGCGGAGGGCGCAAGGGCGCAGAGGGCGCTAGGGCGCGAGCTAGGCTAGGCTAGGCGAGAGGATCGACACCTACTCATGATACCATCTCAGAATGAGCGAACAACGGAATGGGGTACAAATATGGAAACCTAAAAGCTGTACCCCCTAGAAGGCACATCACTGCAACCTATTACAAATAATAACATTTGACATCTTGATCTAGCTTTGCCCTTGTTGTACACTGCTATATATATTTATACCTGCATGTTTTCACTTGCGAGGTTGTGATCAGTGTACTGCCATTGCTGTTATCACAATGCATGTGAAATGCCTTGTGGCTGCTTGCTTGTGCTTGGACTGCGTGGTTATCTTGAAATCCACCGTGAGCTTTGCTTTGCTTGCTTCTCTTGACTGGACTTGTGACCGCTTGTTGCCCACTTTGCCTATGGGGGTGTGTCACACAATACTTTGGTTATATGCTGTAGTGGGTTACTTTCTATGGGGTACAATTCAGTTAGGGTTTGGTACTTGTACCCACATTCTGCTCAATGCAATCACTCGTGCTCGCTATATTCTGGCAGTTTCGCCAATCGATCCGCTAAATCGATTGTGCGACTCGATATACAAGCTTGATCCTGCGATATTCGCACCTTTACCGCGTCCTAAATGACCTTGCTAGTTCCAACCCCATCACTAAGGGCGGGTCAGGTAAGCTTCGTTTTTATAAAATTTACAGTTCAGTTACCCGAATTTGGAGTGTAACCGAACTTTTAATGCTCATCTTGGAGTGTAACAAGTTGCCCGCTTCCCATCACCGCATCTTCCCAGCAGCACAACTACCGAGAGAATTACTGTAGAACCCTGTTCGGTGATTCGTTCTTACTCGCGTGGCCTCGAATTACTCGAGTGGCCACCAAATTTGGTGATAATTACTCAAGTGGCCACGCCAGGGGATTCCCGCTGCCTTTGTTTTTCCCGGCGCATTACCCGAAGAAGGTTTGTAGCCCCGAAATGCACCGTCACGCGCGGTCATTTAATTTCCCTCGCGTTGACGGCCGTGAATTTTTAAATATATGATCGGGAATCCAATTAGGCGCCTGATTGGACGGTCATTGCCTACAACTGCACCGCGCCTATTATTGACCAATCATGCGCGGTCGTTATTGCTGTGGCGGTTAGATGCGGGTCAATAGAAGTATATGATCGGGGCTACATATTCACGATCAATTATTGGTTGCGGATTTGTTTGACCTAGCGCTCATTGGTCGCGCATTTGCCCGAAATTGAGCGCGCATTTACTGCTGGTCGGAATATTTGTCGGTTTTTTTTGTACAGTGAGCGGGCCACGCTCGCGCCCGCCACCCTGGCGAAATTTTCGGGTGGGAAATAGTAAGAAACACTATTGCGGGATGATACTCGTGCGAACGGTGCATTTCGGGGCTACAAACCTTCTTAGGGTAATGCGCCGGGAAAACAAAAGGCAGCGGGAATCCCCTGGCGTGGCCACTCGAGTAATTCGAGGCCACGCGAGTAAGGACGAATCACCGAACAGGGTTCTACAGTAATTCTCTCACAACTACCACAGTGTAATCCAGTGTAGCTGCCACACCGCGTTCCAGCTCTTTCAAAATCCCGGCCGCAGCTACGCCGGACTGGCCGCGCCGTTCCTGCACGGAACTCCCCGCAGACTGTTCCCGCCATTGCGCTGAGGCTGTTCCCGCCATTGCGCTTGTGCGTTAGTCTCGTGGCCGTTCGTCCATCCTAACATCGATCCACCTTCCTTGGCCCGCCATCATGGCCCTGCTTCACCGCTCTTCCGCATCAGCGGCGCTGCTGCATCCGTTGCACCAACGGGCCGCGTCATCAGCACCATTGCAATCGCGGCCTGAACCGTCGATTCGGTCGTCGATGCCCATCCGAGGGCCATCGCGTGGCCTGCCCGGTCGCGCGGGTCGCTCCGCTGGGCAAAGCGAGGCCGTGGCGCGCTCGTCGCTGTGGGACGCCGTGCAAGGTACGGACAGACCGACAGAGAGCCGTTGACAGAGCGGGTCGTGTGTGTTAAGCCGCCTGCGGGCTCCACCACACGAAGGGTTGAACCTCCCTGCCTGTCGTGTCGTCACAAGTGCTACACGTCACAGCACTTGTGACGCGACGACAGGCAGGCCGCACCAGGGATGGCAGGATGGATCCTGCCATGACGGACAAGGTACGGACATACAGACAGGGAGAAGCGTGCAGTCACGAGGAGGACGAGTGCATGTTTTTGCCGGTTGTGTCTCTCCTCAACCAATCCCATCCCTCCCCCCTCCCTCCGTCTCCTCTGTAATCCTGTATCACAGGCAGCACACGACAGCGGGGGCGAGCAGTCGGGGGTGGCAGTAGGAGGGGGATACCTTGGTGAAGGCGAGGGCGAGGGCTATTTTGTGCGCTGTATTCACTCCCTCAGTGTTCCCCCGCTTCCTCATCGTGTGTGGCAGGCAGCAGCAGCGGCGAGGGGGAGGGACAGCAGCCGTGGGGGCTGGCGGTGGGGGGGGAGGCACCGCTGGGGTAGAGCGATGAGGAGGGCGAGAGCTAGTCCGTGCTGCTTATTCACGCCCTCACTGCTCCCCCTATTTGTGTGTTGCAGGCAGCGGCAGTGGCGAGGGCGGGGGGCAGCAGTGGGGGCTGGCAGTGTCAGGGGAGGAGCCGCTGGGGTATAGCGATGAGGAGGGGGAAGGCATCGTTCCTCTCACTGACGACGCAGAGGCGTTTGGCCCTGAGGTAGGAGGGGTTGGGTGGGGGTTGGGGGGTTGGGGGAGGGGGGATGGGGATGGGGAGGGAAGGGAACACATGGGGTACATGGACTGGAGATGAGGGTGGGTTGATGAATGGCGCCGAGGTAGGGGTGGGTGGAAGGATGAATGACGGGACGGGGTGCAGCGACGGGGAGGGCGAAGGCTTTGTGCCTCTGACTGGCGATGCAGAGGCGTTTGGGCCTGAGGTGCGCGTGCGGGGGGTTGGGGGGTGGCAGGGGAGGGGGAGGGGTGTAGTGTAGGGGGTGGGCGAGAATGTGGTCTGGAGCTGAACGGGGGAGGAGGGGAGATGTGGGGTATGTGGACTGTGGGGGGGGAGGGAGGGGGGAGGGAGGGAAATGCGGGAAATGTGGACTGGAGATGAGGCAAGAAGGGGGGGGGCAGTGTGGACTGGAGATGAGGAGAAGGGGGGGGGAGGGGGGAGGAAATGTGGACCGCAGGGAGGAGGAGGAAGGGGGAACGGGGGGACCGAGGTAGGGGTGGGATGATTATAACCCGGAAGGGGTGGGGACTCGGAGATTATGATTTAAAGAGGAGCAAACAGGTGGGGGGAGATACGAAGGCAAGAGCTCCTCATGATGGCAAGAGCTCCTCATGATGGCCCTTCCATCACTGTGGGACGAGCCGAGCCATCTTGATCTACAAGTGCAGTACAAATACGTGAGGTCCCTCCCACAGGTCCTCACTCATGGGGAAGAGCAGCAAGGTGGAGGAGAGGAGGCGCCACCATCTACAAGTGCACTACATCCCAGAACTGACATGTATTGCAGTGCAGTGCAACAACCACAGGTCCTGACATGTATTGCAGTGCAGTGCAACAACCACAGGTCCTGACATGTATTGCAGTGCAATGCAACAACCACACCTGCTTTCATTGAGTTGCAGTGGGGAAACGGATGCTCAGCAGCAGTTTCAAGGCCGTCGCTGTGGGTTCACTATCCGTCGCGAGTGTTCTCACCAATCTCTCTGTGGTGTGCTGTGGTGTGCTGTGGTGTGCTGTGGTGGGCTGTGGTGTGCTGTGGTGTGCTGTGGTGTGCTGTGATGGGCTGTGGTGTGCTGTCTGTGCGCCTTTCCATGTCCGCCTGCTTCAACCCCCTCCTGTGTTTGCAGGCGTTGCTACTGCTTGGCTTGACACCTGACGAGATTGAAAAGGTGTGTGCGCGTATACGGGCATGTGCGCGTGGGTGCGTGTGTGTGTTTGTGTGTGTGCATGTGCGTAGGTGTCTGTGTGCATGTGTCTGTGTGCATGTGTCTGTGTGCATGTGTCTGTGTGCATGTGTCTGTGTGCATGTGTCTGTGTGCATGTGTCTGTGTGCATGTGTCTGTGTGCATGTGTCTGTGTGCATGTGTCTGTGTGCATGTGTCTGTGTGCATGTGTCTGTGTGCATGTGTCTGTGTGCATGTGTCTGTGTGCATGTGTCTGTGTGCATGTGTCTGTGTGCATGTGTCTGTGTGCATGTGTCTGTGTGCATGTGTCTGTGTGCTTGTGTCTGTGTGCATGTGTCTGTGTGCATGTGTCTGTGTGCATGTGTCTGTGTGCATGTGTCTGTGTGCATGTGTCTGTGTGCATGTGTCTGTGTGCAATTGTCTGTGTGCATGTGTCTGTGTGCATGTGTCTGTGTGCATGTGTCTGTGTGCATGTGTCTGTGTGCATGTGTCTGTGTGCATGTGTCTGTGTGCATGTGTCTGTGTGCATGTGTCTGTGTGCATGTGTCTGTGTGCATGTGTCTGTGTGCATGTGTCTGTGTGCATGTGTCTGTGTGCATGTGTCTGTGTGCATGTGTCTGTGTGCATGTGTCTGTGTGCATGTGTCTGTGTGCATGTGTCTGTGTGCATGTGTCTGTGTGCATGTGTCTGTGTGCATGTGTCTGTGTGCATGTGTCTGTGTGCATGTGTCTGTGTGCATGTGTCTGTGTGCATGTGTCTGTGTGCATGTGTCTGTGTGCATGTGTCTGTGTGCATGTGTCTGTGTGCATGTGTCTGTGTGCATGTGTCTGTGTGCATGTGTCTGTGTGCATGTGTCTGTGTGCATGTGTCTGTGTGCATGTGTCTGTGTGCATGTGTCTGTGTGCATGTGTCTGTGTGCATGTGTCTGTGTGCATGTGTCTGTGTGCATGTGTCTGTGTGCATGTGTCTGTGTGCATGTGTCTGTGTGCATGTGTCTGTGTGCATGTGTCTGTGTGCATGTGTCTGTGTGCATGTGTCTGTGTGCATGTGTCTGTGTGCATGTGTCTGTGTGCATGTGTCTGTGTGCATGTGTCTGTGTGCATGTGTCTGTGTGCATGTGTCTGTGTGCATGTGTCTGTGTGCATGTGTCTGTGTGCATGTGTCTGTGTGCATGTGTCTGTGTGCATGTGTCTGTGTGCATGTGTCTGTGTGCATGTGTCTGTGTGCATGTGTCTGTGTGCATGTGTCTGTGTGCATGTGTCTGTGTGCATGTGTCTGTGTGCATGTGTCTGTGTGCATGTGTCTGTGTGCATGTGTCTGTGTGCATGTGTCTGTGTGCATGTGTCTGTGTGCATGTGTCTGTGTGCATGTGTCTGTGTGCATGTGTCTGTGTGCATGTGTCTGTGTGCATGTGTCTGTGTGCATGTGTCTGTGTGCATGTGTCTGTGTGCATGTGTCTGTGTGCATGTGTCTGTGTGCATGTGTCTGTGTGCATGTGTCTGTGTGCATGTGTCTGTGTGCATGTGTCTGTGTGCATGTGTCTGTGTGCATCGTGTCTGTGTGCATGTGTCTGTGTGCATGTGTCTGTGTGCATGTGTCTGTGTGCATGTGTCTGTGTGCATGTGTCTGTGTGCATGTGTCTGTGTGCATGTGTCTGTGTGCATGTGTCTGTGTGCATGTGTCTGTGTGCATGTGTCTGTGTGCATGTGTCTGTGTGCATGTGTCTGTGTGCATGTGTCTGTGTGCATGTGTCTGTGTGCATGTGTCTGTGTGCATGTGTCTGTGTGCATGTGTCTGTGTGCATGTGTCTGTGTGCATGTGTCTGTGTGCATGTGTCTGTGTGCATGTGTCTGTGTGCATGTGTCTGTGTGCATGTGTCTGTGTGCATGTGTCTGTGTGCATGTGTCTGTGTGCATGTGTCTGTGTGCATGTGTCTGTGTGCATGTGTCTGTGTGCATGTGTTCTGTGTGCATGTGTCTGTGTGCATGTGTCTGTGTGCATGTTGTCTGTGTGCCGTGTCTGTGTGCATGTGTCTGTGTGCATGTGTCTGTGTGCATGTGTCTGTGTCTGTGTGCATGTGTCTGTGTGCATGTGTCTGTGTGCATGTGTCTGTGTGCATGTGTCTGTGTGCATGTGTCTGTGTGCATGTGTCTGTGTGCATGTGTCTGTGTGCATGTGTCTGTGTGCATGTGTCTGTGTGCATGTGTCTGTGTGCATGTGTCTGTGTGCATGTGTCTGTGTGCATGTGTCTGTGTGCATGTGTCTGTGTGCATGTGTCTGTGTGCATGTGTCTGTGTGCATGTGTCTGTGTGCATGTGTCTGTGTGCATGTGTCTGTGTGCATGTGTCTGTGTGCATGGTCTGTGTGCATGTGTCTGTGTGCATGTGTCTGTGTGCATGTGTCTGTGTGCATGTGTCTGTGTGCATGTGTCTGTGTGCATGTGTCTGTGTGCATGTGTCTGTGTGCATGTGTCTGTGTGCATGTGTCTGTGTGCATGTGTCTGTGTGCATGTGTCTGTGTGCATGTGTCTGTGTGCATGTGTCTGTGTGCATGTGTCTGTGTGCATGTGTCTGTGTGCATGTGTCTGTGTGCATGTGTCTGTGTGCATGTGTCTGTGTGCATGTGTCTGTGTGCATGTGTCTGTGTGCATGTGTCTGTGTGCATGTGTCTGTGTGCATGTGTCTGTGTGCATGTGTCTGTGTGCATGTGTCTGTGTGCATGTGTCTGTGTGCATGTGTCTGTGTGCATGTGTCTGTGTGCATGTGTCTGTGTGCATGTGTCTGTGTGCATGTGTCTGTGTGCATGTGTCTGTGTGCATGTGTCTGTGTGCATGTGTCTGTGTGCATGTGTCTGTGTGCATGTGTCTGTGTGCATGTGTCTGTGTGCATGTGTCTGTGTGCATGTGTCTGTGTGCATGTGTCTGTGTGCATGTGTCTGTGTGCATGTGTCTGTGTGCATGTGTCTGTGTGCATGTGTCTGTGTGCATGTGTCTGTGTGCATGTGTCTGTGTGCATTGTGTCTGTGTGCATGTGTCTGTGTGCATGTGTCTGTGTGCATGTGTCTGTGTGCATGTGTCTGTGTGCATGTGTCTGTGTGCATGTGTCTGTGTGCATGTGTCTGTGTGCATGTGTCTGTGTGCATGTGTCTGTGTGCATGTGTCTGTGTGCATGTGTCTGTGTGCATGTGTCTGTGTTCATGTGTAGAAAGTGTATCTCTGAGAGATCCGACTTTCTACACGTGGCTCTTCGTTCCTCTCACTGGATTCCTACCACCTTGTCTTGCACATCCCTGCGAGTTGAACCCCTTCTGTGGAAACCAAGTTGACTTTTGAGGCGACTCAAAAGTCAACTCGCTGCAGCCCTACCTCCCCGGCTCAAACATCCCTGCGAATTATCGCTACAGAAACCACACTTTCGATTCAGTGTTCTTGCATTTCAGTGTAAATATGACCAATTTCCGTGCCTCTATCATAGCCCTTTGTGTGCACTCTCCTCTCTTCATTTCTCCTCCCCCATTGCCCCTCCCTCCTTACCGCTCTTCCTCTCTCTCTACGCCCTCCCTTCCATCCACGAGTCTCATCCTCTCCATGGATGCTGCTCTGTTTCTTTCCCTCGTGCTGCACGCCAATCTACGTGTTCAACATACACCAGATCTGTTCAGCTTCCACTGCACCCTCATACATGCAGTTTCTCTTCCCCACATTCATGTCTGTGCTGTGCATTCACCCTCCCCAATTACCCCTCTCCTCTCTCCCCTCTCCCTTCTCGCCTCTCCCCTCCCCGCTCGCCGCCCCCACCCCCCCCTCGCCGCACGGCAGGTTCGAGCAGCGCTGGATGAAGCAGAGGCCAGCTTTATCTCGGTACGCCCCCCTGCCGCTCCCCTCTGCTGCTCCCCGCTCCCGCTCCCCTCTGCTGCTCCCTTCTCTTGCTCCCCTCTGCCGCTCCCCGCTGCTGCTCCCCTCTGCTGCTCCCCGCTCCCGCTCCCCTCTGCTGCTATGGTGGCTTTGACGCAATAAGCGGCCTTGGAGAAATCGTTGACGCTGATTTGACCCTTGGGCATGCAGGAAAGAAGAAACCGAGGGAGTGTAGGAGACCACATGGGGAGTAAATCCATGTATCCTCTCTCGCATTGATTGTGTCATCCACTGATTGTTTCACCCACTGCTTGTGTCACCCACTGCTTGTGTCACCCACTGCTTGTGTCACCCACTGATTGATTCACCCACTGATTGTGTCACCCACTGATTGTTTCACCCACTGATTGTGTCACCCACTGATTGTTTCACCCACTGATTGTTTCACCCACTGATTGTGTCACCCACTGATTGTTTCACCCACTGATTGTGTCACCCACTGATTGTTTCACCCACTGGTTGTGTTGTGTCACCACTGTTTCTGTCACCCACTGGTTGTGTACTCTCTCTCACTGTATCCCCATCAATTCTTCTGAACCGCACCCAACCGCCTTGCCCCTCCCCATCAGCTGCTGGCAGCAGACGCCTCAGTGGCGGACGTCACTCTGTGGGACGCCATGCGGAGGTCGCCAACCCTCTCTTTACCCTCTGTCTGTCAGCGTGTCCCCATCAACCCTACTCAACCGCACTCAACCGTCTCGCCTCTCCCCATCAGCTGCTGGCAGCAGACGCCTCAGTGGCGGACGTCACTCTGTGGGACGCCATGCGGAGGTCGCCAACCCTCTCTTTACCCTCTGTCTGTCAGCGTGTCCCCATCAACCCTACTCAACCGCACTCAACCGTCTCGCCTCTCCCCATCAGCTGCTATCAGCAGACGCCTCAGTGGCGGACGTCACTCTTTGGGACGCCACGGAACCCTCCCCTCACCCCCTCTCACTGTGTCCCCATGAACCTTTCTGAACCGCACCCAACCGTTGTGCCCGTCCCCATCAGCTGCTATCAGCAGACGAGTCAGTGGTGGACGTCACTATGTGGGATGCCATAGAGAGGGGGCGCCCTCTCCCTCCTTACCCCCTGCCTGTCCCTGTGTCGCAAGCAACCCTTTTGAACCGCACCCAACCGTTTTGCCTGCAGCTGCTATCAGCAGACGAGTCAGTGGCGGACGTCACCCTGTGGGACGCCATGGAGAGGGCCGCCCAGCCCTTCCCCTCCATGCCCGCGCCCTCTGTAGCCGCTGCCCCGCAATCACAGGTGCGCTACCTGCTGTGTGCTGCCTGCTGTGTGCTGCCTTCTGTGTGCTGCCTTCTGTGTGCTGCTGCCTGCTGTGTGCTGCCTTCTGTGTGCTGCTGCCTGCTGTGTGCTGCCTTCTGTGTGCTGCTGTGTTTGTATCTGGGACCGAAATCTTGCAGCCAAGGCACTCACTAGTCATTCGCCCCCATTACTCCTGCATTTGTCCCCTCTGCACATCGTGTCAACAGGCGGCTGACAGCAGCAGCGTGTGGCCGAACAACGTGGGCGAGCGGGTGTGCATCGTGTCGGGGCTGTCAGGCATTGAGATCATGGACCTGGTGGAAATCATCAGCAGCCTGGGTAAGGCCGAGGGTGTTGGTGGCATGGGTGTCGGTGAGAGAGGAGCGAGGAGGTGCGGATGAGAGGCTGTCAGGCATTGAGATCATGGACCTGGTGGAGATCATCAGCAGCCTGGGTAAGCTCCATGACAAGCAGTGAGGGGGTTGGTGACTGGTGTGCGTTGTGTCAGGGCTGTCTGGCACTCAGGGCTGTCAGGCATTGAGATCATGGACCTGGTGGAGATCATCAGTAGCCTCGGTAAGCTCACTGTCTTGTTTTGTCCTCTTGCTGTCGGGGAGGGCGTTCAGTGCCGGGCAGTGAGGGCTGTCAGGCATTGAGATCATGGACCTGGTGGAAATCATTAGCAGCCTGGGTAAGCTCGCATGTCATGTCTGGTCCTCTGGTTTGCTCTCCGTGAACAAGAGAGGAGGTGCAGCGAGAGGTGTGCATTGTGTCGGGGCTGTCTGGCATTGAGATCATGGACCTGGTGGAGATCATTAGCAGCCTGGGTATGATTGATGGTGCTGGTGGAAAGGGTCGTGGTGAGGGCTGGCAGTCAAGCAGTGAGAGCTGACAGGCAGTGAGGGCTGTCTGGCATTGAGATCATGGACCTGGTGGAGATCATCAGTAGCCTGGGTAAGCAGTTGGAAAGGGTCGTGGTGAGGGCTAGCAGTCAATCAAGCAGTGAGGGCTGGCAGGCAGTGAGATCATGGACCTGGTGGAGATCATTAGCAGCCTGGGTATGCTCTCATGTCTGCTCTCATGTCTGCTCTCTATCTTTTGCTCTCCCCGAACGGGAGAGATGTGCGGGTGAGAGGGTGTTATCATTGAGATCATGCACCTGGTGGAGATCACCAGCAACCTGGGTATGGCAACTGTCATTGAGAGAGGAAGCTAGGGGAAGAGAGGAGGTGCGGGTGAGAGGCTGTTGGGCATTGAGATCATGCACCTGGGGGAGATCATGCACCTGGGGGAGATCATGCACCTGGGGGAGATCATGCACCTGGGGGAGATCATGCACCTGGGGGAGATCATGCACCTGGGGGAGATCATGCACCTGGGGGAGATCATGCACCTGGGGGAGATCATGCACCTGGGGGAGATCATGCACCTGGGGGAGATCATGCACCTGGGGGAGATCATGCACCTGGTGGAGATCACCACCAACCTGGGTCTTTCTTTCTCTCTCGCTCCCTTTGAACGGGCAAGAGTGTGCACTCATTGAGATTACGAGCAACCTAGGTATGATTGGTAGATCCCACAACACCCCACAGGACCCCTCTGCACCTCACGCATTGGTTTGTTCTTGTTCCTGCTACCTAAAGAAAAGAGTTAGTGGTATAACAAATCACAGGCATAGGGCTGGCAGGCATTGGGAGGGCTGGCAGGCATTGAGAGGGCTGGCAGGCATTGAGAGGGCTGACAGGCATTGAGAGGGCTGGCAGGCATTGAGAGGGCTGGCAGGCATTAAGAGGGCTGGCAGGCATTGAGAGGGCTGGCAGGCATTGAGAGGGCTGACAGGCATTGAGAGGGCTGGCAGGCATTGAGAGGGCTGGCAGGCATTGTGAGGGCTGGCAGGCATTGAGAGGGCTGGCAGGCATTGAGAGGGCTGGCAGGCATTAAGAGGGCTGGCAGGCATTGGGAGGGCTGGCAGGCATTGAGAGGGCTGGCAGGCATTGAGAGGGCTGGCAGGCATTGAGAGGGCTGGCAGGCATTAAGAGGGCTGGCAGGCATTGGGAGGGCTGGCAGGCATTGAGAGGGCTGGCAGGCATTGAGAGGGCTGGCAGGCATTGAGAGGGCTGGCAGGCATTGAGAGGGCTGGCAGGCATTAAGAGGGCTGGCAGGCATTGAGAGGGCTGGCAGGCATTGAGAGGGCTGACAGGCATTGAGAGGGCTGGCAGGCATTGAGAGGGCTGGCAGGCATTGAGAGGGCTGGCAGGCATTGAGAGGGCTGGCAGGCATTGAGAGGGCTGGCAGGCATTGAGAGGGCTGACAGGCATTGAGAGGGCTGACAGGTTTGGGTCCAGTTCTTGCTCATGTCTACACGAAAACACCCAACCCAGTGCGCCGCGCGTGCGCACACATATACACATGGACTCGCACATGGTCTTTGCAGCTATGCTTCTTCAACTCAGCAGTAGCACACACTCACAATTCATCAGGCCTCTACACCCACTTTCATTCCTCTCCTCTCATTCATACCTCCAAGCCTCTATCCCCTGCTCCCGTGCCCCCAGTGAACAAACATCCCCCCTATGGTGTACGCATACATTGCTGCCCTGCACTTTGAACACCTTCATCCGCCGCTCCTTTCCTCTCATGCCCCCCAGACATCCCCCCCAGACATCCCCCCATGGTGTATGCAGCCATGGTGCCCAAGTCCGCAGCCAGGCCAGTGAGGGAGGTGGTGGTTAAGCATGCCAATCTTTCTCCCTCCTCTCCTGTTCCCCATCTCCCTACTCCCAGACATCACCCCCATGGTGTATGCAGCCATGGTGCCCAAGTCAGCAGCCAGGCCGGTGAGGGAGGTGGCGGTTAAGCCTGCGAATCTTTCCCCCCCCTCTCCTCTCCTCCCATGCCCCCTGCCCCCCAGACATCCCCCCCATGGTGTATGCAGCCATGGTGCCCAAGTCGGCAGCCAGGCCAGTGAGGGAGGTGGTGGAGGATCTGGTTGCAGACCACCGCCTGCTGTACAGCCAGTCAGAGTGACTGAGGGGGGAAATGCGGGAAACGTTTAGGGTAGCTTCTGAGTCGAGTTGTGGGAGGTGGTGGAGGGAGGATCTGGTGGCAGACCACCGCCTGCTGCACAGCCAGTCCGAATGACTGATTTTTTCAGAATTATATGTTTTTCAATAATTAAAAAATAAGTAAGCCCTGCCTTCAGATTCCCAGATTATCACATTTTATAATTCTGACAAAAAGAGACTTTACTTCATGGATACCGTAATAACTTGGACAAGGCAGGCACCCTAGGGTACATTGAAATATAGGGGTGTTTTGTAATTGTTATCAGCAGAAAAAAAAAACTAACATCCGGGTGCCTTGACATGACTTTTTTATGCCCATAAATTTCTTCATGCAGGCATAGGTGTTTCTAGAGGTCTTACATCACCCTGACTATGACAAGGAAAAAGTGGGAATCCTCACATTACCACAAAAACCAACTGCAATACCTAGCGAGATCTCAGACAGATCGCTAATCCATACTGCGTCACCATTTCTGGTTGCGCTCCAGGAACGAGTACAGGCTGTCTGTATCGAGTCAAGCCCCACCACCTCGAATCTATCTGACGGCATTCTGATCTCAATCCTGGTCTCCTATTTTCGCCGCGCTAAGTTGCCACGAGCCTCCTAGAGGCCTGCCTCGCCGCGATGCACACGTGGCTGTACCGCGTGAACGCGGTCGTCACGCTCTCCGTCTTTCTGCTCATCGGCCTCAGCGTGCTCGCGTCGCTCTCCGAGCGCCTCCACACGTCCGCCCCGACCGTCGATCTGGACGTGAGCTGGCTGATACCTCGGGGGAAGCTTCACGCTACCCTAGCCTAGAAGTTTCCTTGCTGCGTGTCGCCCCATTGGCGACGTGATTTGTCGTGTCAGTCCTTGCAGGTCCACGCTAAGTCGTCCTTAGAGCTTAGGGTTGCATCCTCCACGGGTCCGATCATACGATCCACTTCAACCAGCTCAATCATGCGTTATCAGGAAAAAATCGCGTCGCGTACCTCGTCTGAGAATTCTGAAATCGAACGAGAGATCTAGTTGCGTTTTCGTGCAATGATGTCCGCAGCGTGAGCTAACATCGACGCCCATGTCCTTACGTGTGCGAATTTTGCGAATTGTGCGAAATGTGCGAATGGTGCAGCTGGTGGACGTGGAGCACTTCTGGAGGATACCGGGCGGTCCCTTCCAGGGCAACGATGAGGTACGGCTTGATGGCGGTGCGGGTGGTGATGGCGGTGCGGGTGGTGAGGGCGGTGCGGGTGGTGAGGGCGGTGCGGGTGGTGAGGGCGGTGCGGGTGGTGAGGGCGGTGCGGGTGGTGAGGGCGTTGCGGGTGGTGAGGGCGGTGCGGGTGGTGAGGGCGGTGCGGGTGGGATGGTCTTACGAAGGGCCGCATCAACTGCTCGAGTACCTGCATCTCGCCAGCCTTTCCTCGCTGCCCGTGCACACCGTTCGTCTCACCAGAGGCGATCGGATTCTCGGAACTTCGGCGATTCTGTTTATTTGTTGTTTGTTTGGCTACGTCACCTTAAGGATGCTGACGTCAGTTCGCGACCCCACCCTCTCCCGCTCCCCGTCCTCCCGCCCCACACCTCCCACCCCTCTCACCCCTCTGCCCCCTTGCCCTTCCCCCGTCCCCCTTCCCCTTCCCCCTTCCCACTTCCCTTTGCCCTGTCCCGCTTCTCCTTCACCCGTCCCCGTTCCCCTCCCCCCGTCCCCATTCCCCTTCCCCCGTCCCGCTTCCCCTTTCCCCGTCCCCCTTCCCCTCCCCCCGTCCCCATTCCCCTCCCCCGTCCCGCTTTTCCTTCCCCCGTCCCGCTTTTCCTTCCCCCATCCCCCTTCCCATTCCCTCGTCCCGCTTCCGCTTCCCCCGTCCCCCTTCTCCTTCCCCGGACCCGCTTCCCCTTCCCCCTCCCTTCCCCTTCCCACTTCGCCTGCCCCTTTTCCCCAGGCGGTGCTGACGCTCAACATCACGGCCAACCTCACATCAGTCTTCACCTGGAACACCAAGCAGGTACCTTCTCCTCTCCTCGCCCCGTTTCCCCCTCCTTTTCGTTGAAGCAGGTACCATTTATTCCCCTCAGAACGCACCACGCTTGCCCCTGGAACACAACACACCACCCTTGCTCCCGGAACACATCATTCTTTCCCTGCACGCGCACCCCTCTTTCCCCCGTGGCAAGGGGCTGCCACTCGCTGCTGCTGGGAAGCCACGTGTTAGTACGCCATGACCTTACTAGCACGGAGCATGCGTGCTGGTGTGTTGGAAGTCAGTGTGTTGTTGACACTTGCACCACTCCTGCCTCGCACACCACTCCTGCCTCGCACACCACTCCTGCCTCGCAGGCCACTGCAGTTTCTGAGATGCTCGTGAATCGCGCCTAATGCAACCCTGTCACAACTCTGGTCCCTCTGTGTCTTCCCCAGCTGTTTGTGTTTGTCACTGCAGACTTTTCAACCCCAAAGCATCCTCTGAATCAGGTGGGCCTGGCTTTCCCCAGTTTCCTCATCCAACTTCATTGCTTGTCTGTTTCTCATCTCCCTCCATCCACGTTGACTCTTGTCGTGTCCACTCTGCGTGCTTCTCCGAGGGCCTAGCTAGCTGTGGTCTGAATACCTAGCTAGCTGTGGTCTGAATACCTAGCTAGCTGTGGTCTGAATACCTAGCTAGCTGTGGTCTGAATACCTAGCTAGCTGTGGTCTGAATACCTAGCTAGCTGTGGTCTGAGTGCCTATCGCTGATATCTCAGCAAACACCATGCTGTGGTGCGTGGGTGATTGCGTGCCAGGTGTCGCTGTGGGATGCCATTGTGGAGCGCAAGGAGGACGCGGCGCTGCAGTTCACGAGGGAGATCAGCGAGTACTCCCTCATGGACCAGGTCAGCAGCAATATACTTACAAGTCCAGGTGTAAACCATCCACTTGCTGACTGGTCCATTAGGGAGGACTCGCTGAGCTAAGAAATGACTGCAGTTCACGAGGGAGATCAGCGAGTACTCGCTCATGGACCAGGTCGGCACCAATCCACCCTCCTGCATCACCTCTTCCCCTTGCCTTCCATACACCCAGCTGTTTTCATGTTCCGCCCCCTCATCTCCCCTCTATGAGCTCTTTCCATGTTGCCATGTTCCTTCCATGTTCTTTCCATGGTCTTGCCATGTTCCTTCCATGTGCTTTCCATGGTCTTGCCATGTTCCTTCCATGTGCTTTCCATGTTCTTGCCATGTTCCTTCTCGGCTTCCAGCTCTTATCTCCGACTCCCTTTTCGCACATGCCCCTCTCTCTCTCACGGCAGGGGAACAGCCTGAGGGGTCTCCCCTTCAACCTGACAGTGTACTGGAACGTGATGCCCATAGTGGGCGGCCTCCCTTTCTTTGCGTGCACCCCTGTCTCTCTCGCTCGCACACGGCAGGGGGACAGCCAGAGGGGTCTGCCACGGTGTACTGCGACGTGATGCCCATAACGGGCGGCCCCTCCATGCCGTTTCATGTCGCCAACTGCCACTTTTGCGTGTGTCCTTTCCTTGTTTCTCACATGGCAGGGGAACAGCCTGAGGGGGCTGCCATTCAACCTGACAGTCTACTGGAACGGTGATGCCCATAGTGGGCGGCCTCTCCATGGCGTTTCATGTCACTGACTACCTCTTTCATGTGTGTCCTTGCCTCTCCCACTCGCACATGGCAGGGGAACAGCCTGAGGGGGCTGCCCTTCAACCTGACGGTGTACTGGAACGTGATGCCCATAGTGGGCGGCCTCTCCATGGACCGCATCTCCTTCCCCGGCTTCACCATGCCGCCCAACTACCGCCCCTTCCACCTCCCGCGCGACCCCTCGCGCTTTGGCGCGCAGCAGCACCACATGCACGACATGCACTTTGAGCAGGACGTGGAGGGGCATGAGGACGGGGATGATGGTGAAGGGTTTGAGGTGGAAGGGCATGACGATGGGGAGGATGATAACGATGATGATGCTTGATTGATGTACTACAGTATTCCCCCGGATAGACGGACGCCCAACCCCCACCCCACAGGTTGAGCCTTGGGGCTTTTTATTATCATCAGCGAAAGAAGCAATAAGGCATTATCCCACTATATGCCCTAACCTCTTTCGTGGTTTCAGAATTTTACCGTATCTTGAAACTGTTAAAATCCGTATTAAAAATCCCACACCTAGGATATCCATGAGGCATCTGTCTGGGGAGATCTTGTACCTATCTTTGAAATGAAGGAAATAGGGTATCTTAAAACTGATCCATGCTTATCAGTAAATTTACTTGTGAAACAACACCTTGCTGTCCATGTACATAAGAAACACACACGTACACACACCCACACAAACATAGAAAAAAACAGACCATAATACAGCAGAGGTCTAACGGTAATTGCAGCAAGGATCCATCAAGCAATTACATCTCTGGCACAGTATCCACTAAAGGGTGATTGACGAGAAACAGCTGCAGAGTTCAGCGTACTGCTGACACCATGGCTCCAAACTGGGGCTGCATTGGTATTGGAAGCATGCGCCTGCGGAGGGGTGCTCACCCACCCATAGGAGGCACTCATGTGTATTGAGCAGCCACACAGAGCTGCAATCAAGGGGCAGCAACAAGAAGCATTGGATTGGAGATATTAATTGTCACAGCACAGCACATCCCGACAGTGCATTGCAGTGCAAGCATTTAGACCAATACACCCTTCACAGTAGAGCAGCCAGAACTTACACCATCAATATCGCGCTGGGAATCGCGGAAGGAGATCCAGGGGTTGAGCCTGCAGAGGTCCACCATGGTGGCTCCATTGGACGCCGCCACCTGCTTGAAGTCCACCACTCGGCCGATCTATATCTCCTTGGCACATCTCGGCCTGGCCTTGGATGGGTCGCGCTCCACACACAGAGCACGGAACGCAGTGAGGCGAGTGGGGCACCTAACATCGGGGTTGATCAGCTGCAGGCTCTTTGCGGTGATGTTGAGAAACTGAGCCACGGACGAGCATGTGTCGGCCTGTGGAGGGGAAAGGAAAGGGGAAAATGGTAGGGAGGGGGTTTGAGAATGAAAAAGGTGGTCAAAAGGGGTGATTGAGGATGCGGCAACGCTTGGGGGATTAAAATGCCGAGTAGCATGAGGTTTTACCGGGCGAAGGATGGTCAGCGGGAAGGGCGAAGGATGGTCAGCGGGAAGGGTGAAGACGAGGCACAGCACATGGCAGCACATGGTGCCTGTAGCATCCCCTGGTGCCATAACAGATCTCAACATGCCAAACTCACAGGCTGGATGTAGTAGAACGCAGTGCAAGGTTGCAGAAGCTCACGCACAGCGAGCTCACGACCCTTAGGAAGGAGAGCGGAGCAGTCAATTCCCTGGAGGAGAAGGGTAATGAGAGGGGGAGGGTGAGGGAGAAGGAGACCGTGGAGCAGAGGGAGAGAGGAGGGTGAGAGAGGGAGAGGGTGAGCAAAAGGTGAGATGGAAAGCGGGAGAGGGTGAGAGAGGTGGAGGGGGTAAGAGACGGGGAGGAGGGAGAGAGGGCCACGGAAACAAGAACGGCTCGACATGATCTCGGAATCGAGATAGTTTGACGGAACATGTCACTACAGGTCTCACCTCATTCATATTAGTGAACTGCTGCAGCGTGAGCCCATACATGGTGTACACGTCCTTGCACCTCCAGTCGCTGCCTGCGACTGTGATGGACGAAATGGCCTCCCTATTCTCATCTGCACACGATCGATACAACAGGAAGCAAGCGGTGATAATGCCACGTACGTGGGCGTGGGCAAGCCATTAATGGACAACAACACAGCAACACATTCGATCTGATCCGCGAAACACACAGCTTAAGTTTCTACATGTAAAGTGCCCACAGTATCCACTGGTGTGTGAAGCGTTGGCAGAAGAAAGCGAGCTTACTGCAGTAGTAGCAACGAGAGCCACCGCAGTCGTAGGCACTCAAGCGGTGGTTGGGCAGGCAGACACAGGTCCAGCGTTCGGTGCCGCGGTCGATGCACGTGCCTCCCAAGCACGCGTTGACTCTGTCGTAGCCACACACGCCCGCTGGCGGAGGGGGGGGGGCACAAAAGGAGCAGAGGATGGCAAACACTGAAGTGGCATGGAGGAAACGAGTGGGGGATCTGTGGGCAGGAAATGCGAGGAGCATCGCTGCTGCCAGTACTGAAATGGTTTGATCAGGCAACGGTGCTCTCCAGAGGCACAAGCGATGCCCGCCCCAACATAGGCCCCTCGCGTGGAAACCAGATCGGTTTTTGGCGAGTAAGGATAGGGGGATGGCGAACAACAGCATTGGGGCTTACTGGTTGAACTCTCTTCGTCGGGATACTCAGAAGGAGCTGTGGTGTTGCTGGCAGGAGCTGTGGTGATGCTGGCAGGAGCTGTGGTGGTGCTGGCAGGAGCTGTGGTGGTGCTGGCAGGTGTTGTAGTGTCGCCAGCAGGTGTTGTGTTGTCGCCAGCAGGTGTGGTGTTGTCGCCAGCAGGTGTGGTGTTGTCGCCAGCAGGTGTGGTGTTGTCGCCAGCAGGTGTGGTGTTATCGCCAGCAGGTGTGGTGTTATCGCCAGCAGGTGTGGTGTTGTCGCCAGCAGGTGTGGTGTTGTCGCCAGCTGGTGTTGTGTTGTCGCCAGCAGGTGTGGTGTTGTCGCCAGCAGGTGTGGTGTTATCGCCAGCAGGTGTGGTCTTGTCGCCAGCAGGTGTGGTGTTGTCGCCAGCAGGTGTGGTGTTGTCGCCAGCAGGTGTTGTGTTGTCGCCAGCAGGTGTGGTGTTGTCGCCAGCAGGTGTGGTGTTGTCGCCAGCAGGTGTGGTGTTGTCGCCGGCAGGTGCACTGGTGTCGCTGGTGGGTGCTGTGGTGGTGCTGGCAGGTGTTGTGGTGAGGACACCACCAGTGATGCAGCGGGCTGAGATGAAAGCGTTGCCAAGAGGCTTGGATCTGGGCACGGGGACGGCAAGGCACGAGGGAGGGCAAGGCACGAGGGAGGCCAGCATGAGAACAAGGTTGTTACTGAGGTGGGAGATGAACGAGCAGCGCTGGGAGCATGGAATGAGAGAGAGAGAGAGAGAGAGAGTGAGAAGCATCAAACGCTCACCTCTGCTGGCCGCGCACGAGAGAGCCGAATGCCTTTCCGTTGCAGCCGGGACCGTGGAAGAACAGAACCTTCTCGCAAGCAGCCGTGCCATCCTGCTGCCACGACACCTGCACCTTCCTCTTCCCGCCACCCAGGTTGGGCCGAATGGGCACACAGCGGCGCGAGTTGAAGGAGAAAGAGAGGCCGCTGACCTTCATCCGCGTGCCAACGCTCGCCGCGCTCGCCGTTGGAGCAGCTGCTGCGACTGTGGGAATGGGGACACGTGGGGTGGGAGGCGCACGCATGGAGAAGGGGCGTGTGACCACTGAGTGGACTCGAAAGGCTCCCAAGCTCGCCGTTGGGGCAGCTGCTGCGACTGTGGGAATGGGGAAACGTGGGGTGGAAGGCGGCGCATGGAGGGGGGCGGCGTGTGCGGCATTAGCGGACCATGATGGTGTGAGTTTTGAGACGTCGCAAAACGTGTGCCAACCAACCAGGCCCTGGGCTCCCGCGCTCGCCGTCAGAGCAGCTGCTGCGGCTGCTGCCTGCGACTGCTGCCTGCGACTGCTGCGGCAGATGAGTTGCAGTAAGAATGGGGACACGTGTGGTGGGAGGCGCACGGAGGGGGACGTGTGCATTGGCGGACCATGATGGTGTGAGCAGATTTAGTCTGCTTTGTAAGAGCGTGCGGACGAGGACGCGAGTGCAGGGGTGACTTTGAGTAGACTCATAAGGCGCGTTGATGCGCGCGGGGCATTCACGTAGGATCCAGGCCGCATGACTAGGACGCGAGCACTAGCATGCGAGCGAAGGAGAACGCATGAGCGTGGGAGAACGCATGAGCGCGCACAATGCGTACCGGCGATGACGGCCACCACGACGAGCAGGGAAGCCGTGAGGGCCTTGCGTCTTGGAGGCCCCAACACGCCGGTGCTGCGCCAACAGCTGCGCAAATTAAAAACGCCTCAAAACGCAACTCTTCATTTGAGGCGCCTTAAAAACGTACCGGCGATGACGGCGACGACGGCGAGCAGGGCAGCCGTGAGGGCCTTGCGTCTCGTCTCGGAGGCCCCATCACGCCGGTGCTGCGCCAACAGCTGCGCAACTCTTCTTTCGAGGCGCCTAAAAAACGTACCGGCGATGACGGCGACGATGGCGAGCAGAGCAGCCACGCGGGTCTTGCGAATAGGAGTCCCCATTATGACGATGCTGCGCCAACAGCCGCGCAACTCACGGACGTCTCTGGATCTTCACCGTTCAGCGGCGGTTCAAGCTCTCGCCGCCTTGAGCGGACGTTGCTGGGCTCGCGAGGGACGCGAAAAGAATGCTGATAAGCTCGAGAAGACGCGGCGGGGCTCAAGAAGCAGGTGATGCACGTCGAAGGAGGAGGGGTGGTAGGTTTAGAGAGAAACCGCACGGGCGGTGATGCTAGTAGTAACAGACGAGGCAGTGAAGACTGGCACGGGTGCTTAAATGGCCATCGCCAAGCCACGCTGAGTGCGCTCGACGATGCCGCGCATGATCCGCCTCGCGTGCGGCGACGCAGCGGGTAGAGTGCGCGCACGGTGCCCGGCATGACGAGCGCCACGCCACGCTAAGCGCGCTCGAGCCATCGCCTGACCTCACCGCGCATGATCCGCCTAGCTTACACCGACGCGGCGGGTCTAGCGTGTGCCGCATGGTGCCCATGACGAACGCGAGTACTCTCGACGTGAGCGGCGGCAGCGGAATTCGCAGGGACCGCGTTCCTGGGGAACGCGATCATCTCGGACCAATGTGGCTACGAGTTAGTTCTCAGCTGGATTTGGAGTGGTATTAACTTGTAAAACAGAGTAGCTGTGACTACTGGAGGGCTCTGGAAACTTGGCTGGAAAGTCTTAGCAGGGCTGCTGGAATTGACTGGATGAGGTAAAACTTCACTATGTTCAAGATTAACAAGCCCACTAAAGCACAACTCTAGGCATCACAGATTGAAAGCTCAAACTAGGCTGATAGACAATGTAACTTCCCTGGTAACTTGGGCACAATCTAGATTGGATGGACCTTGAGTGACTTTGAGTGCCACATGAGGTGCATGAATAAGAAAACTCTGGATATTTCTGTTATAGCTGATTCTGATGTGTAGAAACCTGTAGAAACTGCCAACACTTCGGTTTGAAGGCAGCTTTGAACTATATCGAGTCTTCGGCTGAAATCTGATCGGTGGTGGAACTTTCGAAGTACTTCCCGAAGCTCTGATTCATCGCCGACATTCCCCCTTGCTGCTGCTTGTGTGCAAAGGGCTGGGGCGGCAGAAACTCGATTCTCCAACACTCCCCCTCGCACCAGACCCGAAGCACACATATACCCATGCTGATGCTCCTTTCACATCTCCTTAGCATACACTTCATGCTGCTGCCCACGTCTCTTCCCCTCACACTCCTCATTCTCCTCAAACTGCTCCACTGCTTCATGAAGTGTCATGAGGCCTGCTCTTGCCTTGCACATGTTGAATGCATCATGTGGAAGAAACTTGGTCATGAAATCTGCTGCTTGATCGAATGAACGGCAAAAGTTGACGGCGAGAACTCCCTTCTCTAGTTGCTCACGAATGAAGTGGTACTGCACCTCGATGTGTTTTGTACGCCCATGATGAACCGGGTTCTTGGAAAGAGCTACGGCTGAAGTGTTGTCCACGTAGAGCGGAGTTGGTTGAGTTTGCGGCTGCCTCAATTCCTCCAAGAGTCCACATAACCAGATTGCCTCCCTTGCTCCTTCGGTCATTGCCATGTACTCAGCTTCGGTTGTTGAAAGTGCCACACAACTTTGCTTGCGCGATTGCCAAGAAACAGCGGCACCACACATGAGGAAGATGTAGCCGCCGGTAGACTTGCGTGTGCTCAATTCTCCCGCCCAATCTGCATCGGTAAAGCCTTGGAGGGAGCTTGCATATGGGCTGGCTTGGAAGAGAAGACCATGATTAGAAGTACCTTTGAGATACCGAAGAGCTCGCTTGGCTGCATGCATATGAATAGGTGAAGGGGCACTCATGTGTTGAGCTAGCTTAGATACCGTGAATGCTAAGTCGGGCCTTGTGCATAGGGCTGCATACATGAGACACCCAACCTGACTTTGGTACAGAGCTAGGTCTTGTGGGGATACCTTAAGTGAATTCTCACCATGATGCTCACTCTCCTCAAGACACAACTCTTTAATACCTATGATATCAAGGCTTGACTCTCTCTCTTCATAGGGCTGATGTGAAGACAAAGGGACAAATTTGGAAGGAAGTGGGGTAGGTGATGGCTTGCTATCATCAAGACCAAACCTCTCAAGGACCTTTTGGATGTACCTTTGCTGGAATAGGAAGATGGACCGTGACTTACGATCTCTCACAATGTTCATACCAAGATAATGACTCGGCTCACCAAGATCGGTCATCGTGAATGCACTCGTGAGAATACCTTTCACCTTGTTGAGAAGATCAAGAGAACCTGAGACTAGGAGGAGGTCATCGACATATACCAAGAGCCAAATGTACTCCCCCTCACTCGTGTGCATGAAGTACAGAGCGTTGTCTCTCATGGACCTTGTGAAACCATGCTTGAAAAGTACCTGCTCAAGAGCATGATACCAAACCCGTGGGGACTGTTTGAGACCATAAAGGGACTTTACCAAGCGACACACTCGACCCGTACCGTCATCATAACCTTCGGGTTGTGCCATGTATACCTCTTCTTCCAAGACACCGTAGAGAAATGCGTTCTTGACATCCATTTGATGGATATGGAGACCAAGATATGCGGCTATGGCGAGGAGGACTCGTACCGTGGTGTACTTTGCTACCACGGCAAAGGTTTCGGTGAAGTCAAGACCTGTAATTTGGGAATAACCTTTTGCCACTAACCTTGCCTTGTACCTATCGATGCTACCATCACCTTTTACCTTGATCTTGTACACCCATTTGACACCAATTACCTTCTTCCCTGGAGGTGGCTCAACAAGACGCCATGTACCTCGCTTCATGAGACTCTCAATCTCCTCTTCCTCGGCTTTCAACCAATGCTCTCTTTCGGGACTTGCCATTGCCTCACGACGACTCAAGGGCTCTCGCGGAAGGTGTGATGCTGCCATGCATATTGCCTCTACCTTCTTGTGAATGCAATTCTCACTCTCCTCACATGTGCACCTTGATGACATGTCAACCATGAAATTGAAGGGCTTTTTTACCTTGCGGACTCGTTTACCTTTACCAAACTCCTCAGTTGGCTGAGACACATTAGTGGTAGGGTTCGGTCTCACAGTGTTTGATTGCGTTGATGCGGTCATTTGCGGCTGAGACAACGGCTGCGACATCGGCTGCGACGGCGGCACGGCTGCTTGTTCTTCTCCTGGCGTGGAAATATCTTGATTATCGGTGTTGACTTGAGGATTAGGTATGGTGACTCGTGGCGGTGAAGCTGAAACGTTTGTCGGCATAGTTGGTTGTGAAGATGCTCTTGGTGGGGATCTTGAGACTAGAAGCTTGGGAATTGATGATGACGCTGCCTTGTCGAGAGGCGGTGATGGTTGGGGCTGGTTGGTGTTGTTGCTCGGTGTTGAAGATGGTGGTAACTGATGACGACCGAATCCGGGACGTGGGGGTGAAGTTGAGAAAGGTCTTGGGTGAAGAAGTGGACTGTTGGAGCTGGTGTTGGTGGTGACTCGCTGAAGTGATCCTCGTGCTATGAGCTGGCTTGACGTTGGAACAAGTGATGAACGTGTGGTATGAGAACGAGGTGTTGCGGTGACGGTTGACTTGTTGCTAGGAAGAGTCGTAGATGGTGTTGATGTAGGTACTTGGGGTCTTGTAGCTGTTGATTGCTGCTGCATGGGATGATGATGAGCTTCTGTAGTTGCCTCTGGAGTGATGGCTGGTGATGGTTTTGATGGCGTAGTGGTGGGCTGATCCGGTTGGCGTTGAAATTGTGAGGTTGGTGTTGATATAGCTGGCTGGTTTGTGACTGTTGGCTGCTGCTCCTTTGGTGGTGATGGAACGGTGACTTGCTGCGGTGGATTGTCTTCATTTGATGGCTGAACTTCATCTCCACTTGGTTGAGTAGCTGCTGGTGGCACTGGCGTGGCACGGTTGGACTCGTTGACGACGGCTTGAGGGAGATCGATGATCGGTCCGCTATGGTCAGAATCGGTGTCATCTTCTTCCTCCTCTTGTGTTGTTTCCTCAGGTGCGCTTGCTGGTTCCTGTTGGATAGAGGATAGAGAGGAGGAAGAGGAAAACTTATGCCAACCTGCAAGGGACATGTCTTCATAGAAGACAACATCCCTTGAAACCACTTCTCGCTTGGTGACAGGATCCCAAAGGACCCATCCCTTGCTCTCATTGCTCATGCCGATGAAGAGGCCCCAATGAGCTTTGCTGTCCAGCTTGAGTCTCTTTGCATCTGGAACACGGTATTGGGCCATGGAACCAAAAACACGAAGCATAGACAGATCTGGTTTAACTCCAAACCAAGCCTCAAATGGCGTTACACCTTCCGGTAAGGGCCTTGTGGGTCTCCTGTTGCGAACATAAATTGCCATAGTGATTGCCTCACCCCACCAGAGCTTGTCAAGGCCTTTGAACTGAAGGAAAGTGGTAGCTATAGCCTGGATAGTGCGATGAAACCTCTCTGCCACTCCATTTTGCTGAGGACTATAGGGACAAGTGAACTGTTGTTTGATGCCCAATGCCAACAACTCCCCCTGAAACGCTTTCCCCATGTACTCACCTCCTCGATCCGACCTCAAGGTGAGTAACTTCTTCCCTGACTCTCTCTCAACAAGTGCTAGCCATTGCTTGAAACACTTGTGAACTTCATCCTTGGTGTTGATGAAAAAGGACCACGAGAAACGACTCTTGTCATCAATGAAAGACACCAAATATCTCTTACCGTTTCGAGTAGGGTCTCGCATGGGGCCGAAGACATCAGTGTGGACCAACTCTAGGAGGTCCCTTGACTGAGACTTAGAAGGGAAGAATGGCTTTCTAGCTAGTTTACCTTCCACACAAGATGGACATGGAACGGAAGAAAGGGACTTGACTGCACTTTCATTCAAACTCAATCCTTCCACGCTCTTGTGATTTACCAACTCTTTCAATGCTTGCACTCCCACGTGCCCCAAGCGTGCATGCCATACCTAAGCTTGGGAGATACTCCCTTTGTTGTTGACTTGATCGGTTGAAACAGCGGGAAGCGAGACAACGTCGTTCTTCGTGTTGCTAGCACCACGCTTAATCTCCAACTTCATCTTGTAGAGCCGCCCGGTACGCTCGCCTTCAGCCACCAGATTTCCTGCACTGTCCCACACTTTGGCTTTCCCCCCTTGCAAGAGAACGGAGGCACCTTTCTCTTCGAGTTGTCCGGCTGAGAGCAAGTTTGCTCCCAAATCAGGAACAAACAAAGCTTTATTGACACAAAATGACTTACCATCCTTTTCGAACTCAAGCTTGCCGACTCCTTTGATTGGTACTTTGCCAAGATCAGCAAGAGTCACAGCTTTTGAGTCATATGAGGGCTGAAAATCCTTGAGAATGGACTGATAGGGAGTCATGGTTTCAGAGCAGCCACAATCAAGAATAAACTCCTCACTACTAGTAGAGAAAACGTGCATGCAAGTAGCAGCGTTAAAAAGGACAGGACCATCGGACTCTTTGGACTCATCTTGACTTGTAGAATGACTTGCTATATTTGCTATGGCTGCCTTACCTTTTTCAGATAGTAGCTGAGGTGGGGGGACCCAATTAGGAGGCTTCTTAGGACAAGCATACCACGGGTGACCCCACTCATGACAACAAAAACACTCAAAATTAAACTTTTTAGCATTCGGGGCTTGGCTGAAATTATTGACTCTTGGCATATTGACTCTTGCATTCCTAGGCTGGTATTGATTGGGAATCGAAGGCCTTGGCTGGACATAGTGACTGGACTTATAGGGAGGACTTGACTGAGGAAAACGAGAGGGTTTGTATGGGTTGGAAGGTGACTGAAATTTCGTACCGTAGTAGGGTTGAGGGCGGTTTGGGCTGAAATTTCCTTGCCTCTGGAATTGGTTGCCATATCTTGTGGCTGCTGCAGCACTCCACGCACCTTCGTCACTCCGCTTGTTCCGTGCAAGGTCTCGACTCTGCTGCTCGTTGACAAGGGCCTCAAAGATGAACGCACGACTCTTCATTGACTGCGGGAGCGCTTGTAGTGTTGCACGGAAAGTGTCCCACTCCGGTGTAAGGCCGGTGAGGATGACGGTCTTGAAAAGAGACTCTGGAATCTCCAAGCCGATCGCTGCTGCTTCCTCCAGCATTGCTTCAGCTCGTTGTAGGTAGGCTTGTGCTGATTCATCTTCTTCCATCTTCAGATTCATGAAGCGGCTCCACATCTCGGCTTGGCTGCTCTCGGATTTTGACTGGTGCATAGTCTTCAGTCGGCTCCATGCTTCCTCTGCACTGTTTGCCTTGGTAGAACAGGGCAGGAGCGACTTCAACTGCTGCTCGTGAATGCTATTGAGTAGGTAGAGGAAGGCCTCCTTGTTGCGTCGTTCGTAAAGTCGTTTTTCAGCTTCTGAAGCATCTGCTGCTGGTTTGGCTGCTTCTCCAGTGTAGTAAGGCCACAGATCCAGAAGGGATGCAGTGAGCTCAAACTGAGTTGCCCATGTTGGAAAATCTTTGCCGTTGAACTTGGGGAGGTGAAGCTTAGGCATGAAGGAGGTGAGTGGTGAGTATGTTGTTGAAGGACTGCCTGGTGCAACTGCTTCCACTAATCCAGTAGCTGCTGATGTTGACTCTGAAGCTCCTCCGGCTGGCTGGAGTGCAGGACCAGATGGATTGTCTCCCGCCATGTTCGTATGGTGCTAGGATAGGAACGTGGTGGGCTAGGTTGATCGAAACGACAAGCTCTGATACCAACTTGTAAAACAGAGTAGCTGTGACTACTGGAGGGCTGGAAACTTGGCTGGAAAGTCTTAGCAGGGCTGCTGGAATTGACTGGATGAGGTAAAACTTCACTATGTTCAAGATTAACAAGCCCACTAAAGCACAACTCTAGGCATCACAAACAAGACAGATTGAAAGCTGCTGCTTGTTCTGTGTGCCATGCCATCAGTGAATTTCCATTTCCATCCACTCCCTTCCCCTTCCCCTTCCCCTTCCCCTTCCCCTTCCCCTTCCCCTTCCCAAGCCAACAGAGCCTGTCATGTACCAAACGTGGAGTGCCCACTTCATCGCTGCAATATGCAGCCTGGCTGGCAGCGTGCAAAGACACAAAAGTACATTCGTGCGAGAAGTGAGTACGTGGGTGAAGCAGGTCGCATGGAGAGGATGCAAAGCGTGAGGCAGCAGAAGCCATAGATATGTCCATGTCCATGTGTAGAGGAGCATTCTATTCATGTTGCTCACCAGGTGCTGGTCACGTGGGGCTTGTAGGATCCACGTGAAAAAATGAAGAGATTTGAACGCATGGCATCATCGTAAGTCATGAGTGCAGATGATTTCCTGTGTGGATCATTCCAGTGCTAGCTTCACATCGCCGCACTGCAAGTGCCTGGCACCAGATTTTGGTGCCAGGAGATGGGAAAGGGACACATTGAATGCGCACTGCTTTTCCGTGTGCAATGCCGTCATCTGCTGCCTTCCACCTCCATCCTCTGCCTCGTTCAGCCGGCCTTCTTCCCTCCCCTCAGACCTTTCCCTTTGCCTTCTTCGTCCCTTGGACTACATGTGAGGACCCAGCCAAATAGATCTCTAAAACGCACAGCTGGGCAGCATGACAAAGCCACGTCCCGCAGCTGCAGCGGCAGTCGAGGCAGTGAAGGAGAGAAGCAGTCAGTGGCTAGTGGGTGGAGGCAGTAGGCAGGGGGGGCGTGGGAGAGAAGAGTGAGGGAGCAGAAGCTAGCTGCAAGCCGGTCATTTTAGGCCCCATGCTGGACGCATGCTGGTCATGCACGCTCGTTGTGCGAGCACATGGCATCATCACATAGAGTGACTGAAGGTGTGATATTGTGTCTTTGCCCTAATACCTACACAAAAGAGTGATGCGGCTAGTCGAAACCAACCACTAGAGTGAGTAGAGCTAGCATCATGATATCATCAAATTTCTCATGTTGCAACCATCTGGAACATCACGAAACGATGTGCATGTTCACTTGGTTTCAGAAATACTGAAATGGTCAATATGAGTGTCCAAACTGCCGACAGGTTTCCTTTGCATCCCATTCTCCTTGGTTTCCTTTACCCCCTTCATCGTGCACCACCCGGTCAGTCGATTGGTATGCCTTACGAGACGTTAACTCGTGTTTCCTCCATTCATTCCCTCCTCACCTCTCCCAACACCCCTCTCCTCCTCCCAATTCCCTTTCCCTCCCCCTTCTTCCATTAACTCCCTCTCTCCCAACCAACTCACTTTCATCACCCTTCCATTGACCCAACCAACAGCCCACTTGGCAACCTCGACGCTTCTCCTAATCCTTACAGGTGGTTGCGCACTCCTCCAAGGCAGAAGCAGCTGACTGTAGTCATGGGGCCACCAGGGTGGTGAGAGGGAGAGAGGGTGACGTGGCAGAAAGAGTTCATTACCCTCATGCGAGATCACGAAATGTGTCGCACATCACCCATCCCCACCTTCCCCGTTCCCCGCTCTCTCCCCTTCCCCCGACATTCTTTCTACCCCTACCTCCCCCTCACATACCTACCTCTCCTCTTGTCCTCTTTCGTCTACTGCCTCCCACTTTCCTTAAACGTTTTTCGTCATTTTTCTATTTCTTCGCTCCCACGTTGTCATCTTCCCTTTCCCCATTCGCCATCCGTTCTTTTTTTATTTTACTCATCCGCCATACCCAAACTTCCCCGCCACCCTCTTCATCCCGCTCTGCCATGCCTTCATTCCATCGTGCTGAGCCCTCACTCACGTCAAGCTATGCACGTTTTTATTGCACTCCCATCTGCCCTCCCCCACCATCCCAGCCAACCAGCAGCGCTGTAGCCATCACACCCTCAGGCACCACCTCTCGCTCCCTTCCACCCAATTTCCCCCGCACACCTAAGCCCCCCACACACACCTGTCCCGCTCCTTCAAGGTTGGTTGATGGTGCAGCAGAGGCGCTGTATGCATTCCAATCACCTTTCAATAATATTTTCTCTTACCCCGCGCCCCCCCCCCCCCTTCCCCACCCCCGACCCCACCTTCTCTTCCCGTGCCCTCACCCTTGCCATGATGTAAAATCAAAGAACCAACAAAACATGAGACCAAGCATGGATGGAGGTGAAGCTGGTGGCGACAACAACGGCTGGGGTGGAATAGTTTACACTCCAACTTGACAGTTCTACAGCTTATGGGGGGAATCCTTTGCATGTCAGCCGCATGAGCTGCCATGTCTGTTTTCTCAGTGTTGAGGCAGCGGTGCAAGCACACCTCATCCCATGCTTTATTTCTAGAACGAATCTCATTGCTTATCACTTCCCCATCATTCACTCATGCCTGCCCTTCACCCATTCCATCCTTCACCCATTCTCCCCCTTCACCCATTCTCCCCCTTCACCCATTCTCCCCCTTCACCCATTCTCCCCCTTCACCCATTCTCCCCCTTCACCCATTCTCCCCCTTCACCCATTCTTCCCCTTCACCCATTCTCCCCCTTCACCCATTCTCCCCCTTCACCCATTCTCCCCCTTCACCCATTCTCCCCCTTCACCCATTCTCCCCCTTCACCCATTCTCCCCCTTCACCCATTCTCCCCCTTCACCCATTCTCCCCCTTCACCCATTCTCCCCCTTCACCCATTCTCCCCCTTCACCCATTCTCCCCCTTCACCCATTCTCCCCCTTCACCCATTCTCCCCCTTCACCCATTCTCCCCCTTCACCCATTCTCTTCCTTCACCCATTCTTCCCCTTCACCCATTCTCCCCCTTCACCCATTCTCCCCCTTCACCCATTCTTCCCCTTCACCCAATCTCCCCCTTCACCCATTCGTCCCCTTCACCCATTCTTCCCCTTCACTTCACCCATTCTTCCCCTTCACCCATTCTTCCCCTTCACCCATTCTCCCCCTTCACCCATTCTCCCCCTTCACCCATTCTCCCCCTTCACCCATTCTCCCCCTTCACCCATTCTCCCCCTTCACCCATTCTCTCCCCTTCACCCATTCTCCCCCTTCACCCATTCTCCCCCTTCACCCATTCTCCCCCTTCACCCATTCTCCCCCTTCACCCATTCTCCCCCTTCACCCATTCTCCCCCTTCACCCATTCTCCCCCTTCACCCATTCTCCCCCTTCACCCATTCTTCCCCTTCACCCATTCTTCCCCTTCACCCATTCTTCCCCTTCTCCCATTCTTCCCCTTCACCCATTCTTCCCCTTCACCCATTCTTCCCCTTCACCCATTCTTCCCCTTCACCCATTCTTCCCCTTCACCCATTCTCCCCCTTCACCCATTCTCCCCCTTCACCCATTCTCTCCCTTCACCCATTCTCTCCCTTCACCCATTCTCCCCCTTCACCCATTCTCCCCCTTCACCCATTCTCCCCCTTCACCCATTCTCCCCCTTCACCCATTCTCCCCCTTCACCCATTCTCCCCCTTCACCCATTCTCCCCCTTCACCCATTCTCCCCCTTCATCCATTCTCCCCCTTCACCCATGCCAGCTATTCTCTCATGCCTAACCTTTTCCATCTTGCCGCTCACGCTGCCTTGTGCAGGTACCATTATGAAAAAAGTAGCCATTCTGAAGCAAACAGGTGCGTTGTGGTGAGCTGTGGTGGCACGCAATGATATGGTTGCGAGTAGCACGTTGTGATGCAGCTATGTGTTGCATGCATCGTTGCAAGGCACACTGAGATGGTTCCAGGCAGGATGCATCTCCTGCATCCATCTGGCTCCCGAAATTCTTGTCCTCTCATTTGCTAGCTGCAACCATCCGTATCACGTGCTTCTGAGGGAGGTGGTGTGAGAAGCATCGAGGAGCAAAAGTGTGTCTGTTGCGAGGTGGGATTATGGCGATCACTCTGCGGAACTCAAGTACACAGCGGCATGTTTCTCATCGCATCTACCCATCTCCCATGCACACACAAGCCCCCCTGCTTCACTGCCCATCCCAGCCAACAGAATGTTGTTGCATAGTGATACACAGCATTGTATCTATTCTCTTGTTATGTTATCATTATACCTACAAGGTTAGGAGTTGATGCTGAAACATTTTCAAATGGACATGATGATCAAGGTGTTCATCTGCTGCTGTACAAGAATTCCTAAACACACACCCACTGCCAGGCAGGCAGGCATAACTCACAGTCCTATGTCAATATACCCTTAAAATAACATTCAGCCAGCGCTATACAGCCTGCACCCAGTCTCCTTTCATCCGCCTCTTGCCCAAACAGGTTTTGCACCTGCTTCTGTCCAACTGCAATGCAAAGATTTTGACCAGTCTCCCAACTCTGCAGCATGTAAATGAACCCATGCACAACCACCACCATTCCATGCCTTCCTCCGCAGCATGCATGAGTTCCCTTCCCTCATTCTTCACACCCCTTGCCTCCACCCTCTCTTCTGTCTCCCCTAGACAGTCACAATCATCTGTTCCCTCGATTCACTTCCCTTTCCATCATTGCCCCCAGTCATCCTACCACCCTATCCGCCTGCGTACTTCATCACCCGTAAGTTTACTCTCCTTTGGTGGCCAGAAAGCTGCCAGGTGGGTCAGGGCAGTCAGCTGCTGCAGCCCATCATTCGAGACTGCCGTGCCATACAGAGCAAGCTGCTCAAGTCCTGTCAGCCTCCCCACGTGCACCATGCCAGCATTTGTCACACCCTTGTTATAAGAGAGCCATAGCAGATTGAGAGAGGAAAGACCAGCCAAGTGTGGCAAACTAGCATCGGTAACCTTGGTCTCGCAGAGTTGAAGCTGCTTGAGACTGGTCAAGGACCCAATGCCTTCCAAGGCACTGTCTGCTACGTCTGTGCTGCAGAGGTTTAGCGTCTCCAGCCGCGGCAGCCTGTAGAGGTGCTTGATGCCCTCTGCACTGAAGCCTGACGTACTGTTCAACGCAAGGCTCATCAGATGCGTCATTGTGGACACATGGGCGAGCATGGCGTCTGAGAGGCCGCTGTTATTACACAGAGATAGACTAGTAACTTGTACTGCTGCCTTGATTCCCTGGAGGGAAATAGATGAAAAGCAGGAGCACAAGAAAGAGGTTGTTTAAATTCTTTAGATGCAGAACAGGAGGGGGGCATGGCGCCTGAAATGTCGATGTTGAGATTCTTCAGCTCCAAATCGGGCTTCAATGATGCCTACTTGATAGCCTGGAGGAAATGGTTGGAGAGGGAATGAGTGACAAAGCAATGAATGCTTATCATGACAATGGTTCAAAATTACGGTTTTCGTAAAATACGATCCGTTTTTTACGGTATTTTTTCAAAAAAACGGCCGTTTTTTTGTTAGAAAACTCTGTTCACCAAGAAAAAAAAAAAAAAAAAAAAAAAAAAAAAACAAGGTCAAATACATTTTCAATCATGCCAACAAGCGCATACATGGAAGAAGGGGTCCATCCCCTTCATGCTGCTGCATTTCGGGTTCAATTTGGTCCCACTAAGTGGCCGTTTTGTTAGTTATAGAGGAAACACCTCCTGGAACCGTTTTAAACCGTTTTTTACGACCGTTTTTTACGGCACCGTTTTTTACGGTAAATTTTCAATAAAACGGTCGTTTTTTTTAACCCTAGCACGCACTGCATGTCCTCTCAAACAGTTCACAGAATGCTCACCTCCCATGCTGTCTTCCGATTGCCTGCACTCTGGCTGATTTCCACATCAACATTCAACCGATTCCTACAGGCTGCCAATTCCTCCTCCTCCTCCTTCCTCCTCTTCTCCCCCCTCTCCCTTTCCAGCACAGCTCTCATTTCAAACTCTCTGTTTCTTGCCTCCTCTATAAGCTTCCTAAATTCAGATTCCCTTCTCTCAGCAACACCCAGCTCCTCTGCCACAGCGCCCTTGTGTTCCGCCAGCTCCCCCTTCACTGCTGCCAACTCTTCTGCCAGCTCCCTCTCCCTCTCCTCCGCCTGCCCTCGCATCTCCATTCCTCTTCTCTCAGCCTCCTCCAGCTGCAGTGCAGTTGACTGCTTGTGCGCACCCAACTCCCCCTTCACCTCATCCAGCTGCTCTGCTACAACGCCCTTCTGTTCAGCCACCTCCCCCTTCATTGCAGCCAGCTCCCTCTCCCACTCCTCCACCTTCTCCCTCATCTCCGCAACTCGCTTCCTCTCAGCCTCCTCCAACTGTAATCTAGTCAATTGCTTGTGCTCACCCAACTCCCCTTTGACTGCTGCAAACTCCTCCTTCAATCTGGCCAATCTTGCTGCAAGCTCCCTCTCCCGCTCCTCCGCCTGTGTCTCATCTCCCTCATCGTCTCTTTCATCTCGTGTGCTCCAGCCATAGTCGCCATGACAGCCCCAACAGCCCCATTCACACCCTGCATCGCCAATCTGACGTGGTTCCTACACATGTCAGCACACGGGAAATCATGAGAACATGCGGGTGCATCAGCAAAAAAATACACAGCACAGCAGAGTGTAGTACCCAGGTGGCAGCACACAGATGGGAGCACATGGATGGCAGCACACATTGCAGACATGATTAGCAAAACATAAACATGAAGAGATCACAACATGAGTATAGAATATAAATGCATCTGGAAAGACATAGAAGAATAGAAACAAAATCCTAAAAATAAGACACTGAGGATACGGAAACCACAGATTTTAGACAAATCTGTGACTCAAAATGGTGAGGTGAGGATACAGAAACGACGAATTTTAGTCAGATTTGAGAATACGGATGAGATTCAAGATGGTGAGGTGCATTCTCACATGGTTCTGTGCAGCAGAGGCTCGACTCCACATGGCTGCAGCATGGTGAGGTGAGGGCAAGGAAGGGAAGACAGGATGGGTGGTGAAGTGAAGGGAGTGGAGGAGAGACGAGGATGAAAGAAGATGGAGCGATATTAAGTAGCACTTGGAAATGGAGTGAGGAGAGTGGGGGAGAGAGGGCAATGCGTAGTGAGAGAGCCTTGAAGAGAGAGACCAGATTGGAACAACTACTTGCAGTGTTGGTACGTACGTGGGGCAGAGCATGTTGCGTACCATCAGCCTGGCCGTGACAGCCAAGCACTGCTGATGCACCCATGCACTGAGTTGCATACGGCTCATGTCCGTCCACCACAGGAGGACCACCAGAGTGGCGATGGCAGAATACAGCACGTTCAGATGTACGGCAACCGGAGACTGCAGCCGGGGGGAGGAACACGGGCATAAAAGCAACATGGTTAGTAAGAGCGGAGAAACAGTTTCTAATCACCGTACATCCAATTAATCTAAAAAGGCAGCAAGACGGACACACAGCGAATGCAGAGGACAGTAATTCTAACACGCACCAGGGTGTGCAGGGATTGAAGAGGCACGTTGAGAGCGTGTGCATGGTGAAGAGTGGGAGGTCCGCAGGTGGCATTCTGATTCGTGGCAGTGGCATTTGCCTGAGATGTCGAGCAGACAACACATGCATGCATGCAACAGGTGGACATGTAACACGCACGCACACATACACGCCAATGCGCATGCATGAACACACACAGGAAACACACAAAATAGTGAGAATACGTAACATATTACTCCTGAATAAGACTATGAAGAACAAAGTATGACAAGAGCTTCTGCTTACATGAGTGGGGGAAGGAGAGGCCAGCATGAGGGGTTGGGTGATTTGCTGGCTGTCGGTATCACGTGGAAGCTGCAAGGAAGGAAGGAGAGAACATGTGCATGCTGAAACGCCAGTCGGCATTGAGGGTGCAACATGCAAACCATGTGGAAACCATGTGCAGTCATGTTGCAACGGGTCTGGAAGGTCAAACATGTGATGATGACGGTAGTGATAACTCACATGAACTGTAACTAAAGGATCTTTCTGAAGTGGCGTGATATTGATGGTGGCGACGGCAGCACCGAGAACGATGCCAGCTAGCAGCATGGCCACTGCAGTCATCCGAGCCATGGCTGATGGGGCGAGCCCAATGCAAGGCGTGCGCCTGCATAACACAACACAATGAGGTGCGGCAGGAGCAGGGGAGGGAGGGAGCAGTGGCAGGGGGGAAGGGGGAAACAGTAGCAGCAAGAAAAGGGAGGGGGGGAATTTGTGGGCGCAATGGCGAGGACAAGTAATGCACACAAAACGCTTTCAGGTATGAAGAGAACACGTATGGAGTGAAAGCACGGACATGGATGAAGGTACATGGGCTGACGAATCATGATATTGTGAAAATGAACGAGGAATGAAAAGACTAAGGGAAAGTTGGGTACAAGTACAAACCCTAGAAAGCTGTACCCCATATGTGCTACCCCACTATAGCCTACAGCAGCTAAGTCATATAAATCTGACACACCCCCATAGGCAAAGTGGGGGAGGACAAGGGGTCACAAGACCAGTCAAGCAAAGCAAAGCAAGCTCAGGGTGGATCACAACGTCACCACACATTCCGAGCACAAGTTCAAGGCCACAAGGCCAGTTCACATGCAGGATTACATATATATATAAGGCTAAACAAGCAAGAGCAGGTGTATATATATATGTAACAGTACAAACAAGGTCAAGGGGTGAGCAAGTGAGGCAAGGTAGGCACAAGACCCAGCTGAGTACAGAAGCGCTGATGATCACAAGGCGCAAGTGCCTTGGTGAAGATATCAGCAGTGTTGGCCTGAGAGGCCACGTACGCAAGGCGTAGCTGACCACGCTGCTGTAGCTCACGAGCAAGGAAGTAGCGAAGAGCAATGTGCTTCGTTCTGTGCTCCAGTCTCTGCTCCCGACACAAGGCCAGCATGGCCTTGTTGTCTACGTACAGCACTGGAGGAGAACGAGGCGGCTCTCCGAGGTCAGTCAGCAGGTAGGTGAGCCAGCGAAGCTCCTGTGCAGCCATGGCCCCTGCGTAGATCTCAGCCTCACAACTGGAGCCGAGAACAGAAGACGAGCGGGTAGCCCGCCACGAGACAGAGCCGGAACCAAGGCTGAAGGTGTAACCCTGTGACGACCGCTGCGTAGCCTGGTCGTCAGCCCAAGAAGCGTCTGCGTGCCCAGTGAGGACCACTGGACTCTGCCCTCCAAGCACAAGCCCCATGCCCGACGTACTGCACAAGTAGCGCAACACCCTCTTCGCTGCAGCCATGTGCTCCGGTCTGTGTCTCCCAGGAGCAACATAGCGTGCGAGAATGCTAAGAGGGTATGCAAGGCCAGGTCGAGTGCAGGTCATCAGGTACATGAGGCAGCCAACAAGCTCTGGATACGGGCCACTCGACTCTACGGACTCATCCGAAGGCAGAGCTGAGAGCGAGTGGCGAGTAGGCAGAGGAGTGGCCTGAGGCGAGGAGTACGTGAAGCCGAAGCGCTGAAGGACCTGCTGCACCATGTGTGACTGAGTCAGGGTAATGGTGCGGCGTGCTCTGTCCCGGGTGATCTGCAAGCCAAGGTAGCTGCGCAGTTCACCCAGGTCTGTGCACGTGTGTCTCTTCTGCAGCTCGGACTTCACGTGGGCGAGTCCAGCAGTGTCAGCTGTGGCAAAGACCAAGTCGTCGACGTACACGAGGATGTAGAACGGCGGCAAAGAAGTGTCGGTGCGCAGAAACAGCGACGGGTCGGCAGTAGAGGGAGCAAACCCAAGAGCCGCAAGCGTAGTCCTCAGTGTGTCGTGCCACTCACGCGGTGCCTGGCGGAGACCGTAGACTGGCCGCCGGAGGCTCCACTGGGTGCCAGGAGGAAAAGTCCCAGTGAAGCCAAGTGGGCGGCGCAGCCAGATCTCCTCGTGCAGGCTGCCCTGCAAGAAAGCAGTGCTGAAGTCAAGAGAGTGTAGCTCGTAGTCACGGTGAGCAGCTATGTGCAGCAGTACCCGAAGAGTGGTCATCTTCGGGGTGGGAGAGAAGGTCTGAAAGTAGTCAACTCCCTGCCGCTGACTAAAGCCACGAGCCACGTAACGCGCCTTGAAGACAGGCGGAGAACCCGGCGGCCGCTTCACCCTGAAAATCCACATGCCACTGACGATGTTCGCCCCAGGCGGGGGAACCTCGTCAACGTAGGTGCCTGTGGACTTCCAGGAAGCCATCTCTGCGTCCATAGCTGCCTGCCACTGAGAGGAGTAGGGACCCTCTATCGCCTCCGCGTAAGAGCGCAGAGTCGGGATGTCAAGTGCATCCGGGTCTCCCTCAGGGGTAAGCAGTACGGACACGAGATGAGGTGAAGCAGCAGCCAAACACTGGAACTCCTCCTGTCTGTCCTCAAGGACGTCCGTGCCAAGGGCACACTCACCCCCGACGGACGGAGGACAGACAGACTCAGACCCAGCAACAAGACTAGCAGCGTAGTCTAGACGACAGCGAGCAGAAAAGTCGACGAGCTCAGCAACTAGGGCAGACGCTGCAGTGGACTCAAAGGAAGGGTCAGTGACAACAGTAGCAAGGAGACGCGTGACAGTCGGACTGGCTGCACGAAGGGAGTCCGACTCCGGGTCAGCAAGAGCAGGAAGAGAGGACTCAGGAGGAGAAGGCAAAGGGGCACGCAGAGGAGCAGTGGACGGACGGAGAGACATCCGGTGCGTGCCGGGCACAGGGGGAGGACGCTGACGCGAACCACGACCACTAGCGCGAGCAGCACGGACAGGCGACGCAGGACGAGACGCAGGCTCACGACGCTCAGCAAGACCTCCAGTAGGACCAGTGTAGGGAGAAGGAGCAGGCAGTGGGGAGGCCGGCTGTAACTGTAACTGTGACGGGACAGGCTGTGGACACTCTAAGGGAGGAGAAGGACCAGTAGAAGGCGGGAGACCAAGAACCTGCTCAAGAAGCGGAACGAAGTACGGCCGAGGCCGCGCAGCGACTCCAGACACAGCAGGGACAGCACCAGTACCCCCAGTGGTAGCACCAGCGCCAGCAGCACCTCCAGCTCCAGTACCCCCAGCAGCTCCAGTAGCTCCAGGACCTCCAGCAGCACCAGTAGCACCCCCAGCAGGACCGGCTCCAGTACCGCCAGCAGTACCCTCAGCGCCAACACCCTCAGCAGCTCCAGCTCCAGTAGTACCCGCAGGCCCAGCAGCTCCAGTACTCCCAGTACGAGCACCTCCGGGACCCGTGGCACCAGCACCCTCAGCAGCCGAAGAACCTCCAGCTCCAGCAGCACGCCTCCAGCGCCGGGCAAACCACTCACGCACCTCCTGTGGAGAGAGTGGCTCCCGTCTAGACGGAGCACCCAGAGAACCTCCAGGCCCAGCACCGCCAGACGCCACACGAGCAGGCCCAGCTCCCTCAGGCTCCGCACCCCCAGGCCCAGCACCTCCAGGCGTAGCACCCCCAGGCTCAGCACCCCCAGTCGTAGCACCCCCAGGCTCAGCACCCCCAGACTCAGCACCCCCAGGCTCAGCACCCCCAGTCGTAGCACCCGCAGGCTCAGCACCCCCAGGCTCAGCACCCCCAGGCGTAGCACCCACACGCACAGCACCCCCAGAGTCAGCACCCCCAGGCTCAGCACCCCCAGCAGCACCAGAGTCACCAGCGACCTCAACAGGCTCGACTGCGTCTACCTGGGACACACCTGAAGGGGCAGGACCCTGAGGGGGAAGGGGGTCTAACGGGGGGGGACCTGGCACAAGGAAGAGCGGAGGCGGGGGGAGGGACGGAGTGCGGTAGGGGAAGAGACGGTAGTAGGGGACCGACTCGTCAAACGTGACGTCCTGGGAGGACAGAACACGGCGAGAGGTGGGGTGGTAGAACTGCCACCCTGGCGCGTCAGGGGGGAAGCCAAGGAAGACGCAGGGAGCAGCACGAGGGGACAGCTTGTCCGCAGACAAGTCGCGGACAAACGCCCGAGATCCCCAGACACGGAACGCAGACGCATCGCCAACCTTCCCCGTCCACAGCAAAGCTGGGGAGGTCTCCGGCATGGAGACCCTGGGCTGAAGGTTGATCTGATGCGCCGCGTACCGAACCGCAAACGGCCACAGAAAATGGGGGGCAGCCGCATGCATCATGGACGTACGGGCGACGTCCATGACCATGCCAATGCGGCGCTCAGCAATCCCATTTTGCTGTGGAGATTCCGGAAG